TAGAGGATTCATTCTGTATATGTAACGATAATATGATGTATAAAGAGGATAAAAGTGCCTTTTATTGTTAGGCGAAAAAACGTTAAAACGAGCATCTGATCAAGTTACATTGATGTATTCGAGACTCCACCTGACCATTTGAGGGTTAAGAAATATAACACAAAATTATTCTGTATGTATCTCTTCGGAATAGACGTCATCGATGTAGGTAGCAATGGTAGAGATGTTGCTGTTTTAGTAGATCCGTCGATCAATGGTTTTTTATTCTTCTTTTTCTTTGATTGTAGTTGAAAGAGTTTTCTAAATACGTGTAGCGAATTCTTTTAATGTGTTCGAACGACTGGTAGCTGTAGACCAGCGTTATCGAGCGATAAAAATTTAACGATTTTTAACCGTTGTTGAGAATCTTTTCAAGAGAAGTTGGTTCTTACCGATAAATAACTCGTCGCTGGCCTGTTGGTGGTATGAGCGGGGATGTGAGGTAACCAACAGCATTGCACAATCACTGAATGATTTCAAGCATCGCCTCATATCTAGGTCATAACAAGATACGTTTCTGGGTTATGGCGGTTGCCCTAAAGCAGGCCCATGTTAATTATAAACTGTCTGCTCAACCATTTCTGTAGTTTTTATTGTTTTTATATTTATAAACTTGTAAAAATATTCGTCACGGTCCCGAGTCCTAGTTTGAATACAGTTTAAACAATATGGAACGTAGATACAATGTTTTCACAGTTTTTCGTGTTACAAATCATGAAAAGCGATATACTTTTCTGAAAATCGAGTATTATTTTCATGAAATACTATTGGAATTTTATTCATTGAATATTTTGTTTTTTATCTGAAGAAAATTACAATATTGAAAAATTGAAATAGTTTCTCTATTGACATATATATTTACTTAAATTACATTGTAGAGAAATAAAAATTCTACAGAGTGATATATATCATACTGTAAATATGTCTAACAATTTATTAAATTATTTGACAGGTTGATGACCAAATGAAGCTGCTTCAACACTCTTGGTCGGATATGTTGGTGCTTGACCACCTTCATCAAAGGTTACATAATAATCTACCTGATGAGACTACACTTCATAATGGCCAAAAGTTTGATCTCCTTTGTCTCGGCCTACTTGGAGTTCCTTCACTGGCAGATCTCTTCAATGAGTTATCGTCCAAACTTCAGGAACTCAAATTTGATCTTTCAGACTACATATGCATGAAATTCCTGATGCTGCTCAATCATGGTGAGTTGATTTAAAATGACAACTTATAATGTTACGTATTGTACCCATGACAGATGGAAAAAAATATTGACAAACAACTCTTTGTTGGAATGTGTAGAAGTTCGTGGACTAGTTAACAAGAAACATGTTCAAGAAGGTCATGAACAAGTCCTACAAGCTCTTTTGGATTACACGTTGACCTGTTATCCATCTGTAACGGTACGTTTATTTCACACATCCTATATCACCATTATTTATTTCATATTGGTAATCAGTGCAGTTTGATATAAATTGATTAAATTTTTATAAACAGGATAAATTTAATAAGCTGCTAGCAGTATTACCCGAAATTCATGTGGTAGCAAGCAGGGGAGAAGATCATCTTTACCAGAAGCATTGTAGTGGTGGAGCACCAACTCAAACTCTTCTCATGGAAATGCTTCATGCTAAGAGAAAATGAAACGATAGATTCGTTTGGCAATTTTGTCATGAGTTAGTGTATTGCTATATCTCAAAAATCATAATAGAGCCCCTTACTGTCAAAGTGGACCTCAAGTACCTATTAAGAGCTAACGCTGCTTAGGTATTGGACCAAGTTAAGGGGCCCTGGTTCATAAAATACCTATGCAAACAAATCAAGTATAGACGTACATACTTTGCATATACACATAATATATGTATTATAAACTGTATCTAAATATATAAACATAATGACATATATTTTCTATATTTGATGTTGAAGTTTTAGAGATGTATCCATGGAGAATTACTACCCCTGTTGGTGGGTACAAGCGCAGGGAAACAGTAAGCAAGATGCCTTGAAAACAGTACAAAGGGTGGTTAACAAAATATTGGTCAAAGGGCAGGCAACTTTTATCTAAATAAGCAAAGCTATTTTTCTAATACTAGAAGCGATTATTTTTAAGCATACCACTGAAGCCTTGCTCTCATTTTGAACAAAAACGATATCCTAATAATAACACGAACGAAAAAAACATAAACAAAGAATTGCCGACTCTACAGTCAATCGTGCTTCTGCAAGGGATTCAATGGGCATACTTGAACTACAGTAAAATTTCATGTGATATACTTATATATACATATATACATATATGTCGCACGGCCACCTGGGCATCCTTAGAACTTCCTATTAAAAAAAAATCTGCATTTTGTCACACTTGCACACAGCAGGGCTATTATATTGTAAATACTAGTTAACACATTCCAATTATGTTGTAAAGTATAAATCATGTTAAATATGTAATTATAATATTTTGTGTATAGTTTAATGAAATAAATATATTTCTGTTGCTTACTGAGAAAAAATCATTAGCTACTTAATATCTTCACTAATTTTAGAACTTTATTCATGTATTTCTCTTTTATTATTTTTCAAATAGGTGGCGGAAAAAATAACCACAAAATGCGATATTTTATTATTGTATATTGTATCATAATAAAGATTCTGTTTAAGAAATGAAAGAATCATTGGAGCAAGGTTTATGTGGTCCTACATTATCTAGCGATTATTACTAAGTATATAAGATCAATATTGTCTTATCGCAATTGTTAAATAGATAAATATTTACTGAATGTTAAGATAGCGATCGAACCGTAGTAATTTTTCACTAATAGATTATTATTGTTTAGTCAATAGTCAGAAACTTTTCAGTGCTGTGAAGGTTGTCTTTTCGACGCCTGTGGTATCTAAGCCATCGGTAATTACACGTGCTAGATTCGAGGCTCAAGTGTGGCAACAAGAACAGAAATCTTTGCTCGTACTGGTAGGCTGGTAGTACCACCCTTTGCAACTCCTACTGTTTATATCCTCTATCAAAGAAGTACCTGGAAAAAATGCTATTTTACTACTTTCACTTTTCCACCGACTTCGTAATAAGATATTAAATATAGATGTAAACAATTTGTTGATGTACGTAAAAAAAAATAAAAGAAAAACTCGATGCCACATTAGATTAAGAATCAAGTGTTGAATCAAACCAGGAGGAGTTAGCTGCGAGTATTACTACCACGGAAGAATATAAATATAAATATACATATACACGTATATATTTTCGAAAACATGCATGTACTTATCGTGTGAGTAAAGATTTGTGTCCACGGTCAAATTTTTAAAATCTTCGATATAGATGCAAAATGTAATTAACGTGTTCCCAAATTTTCAAATCGCCTGGTTCTTTTTTAATCGATCGATCGAAAAGAAACAAACTCTGAATTTATTATTGGTTGTCGATTCCTTAAAATACTTTCAAAACGGTTAATGTTTATTTAACTCGCATATGAATGTCTACCTCTTCGTAACTGTATTAAGTCTTACATTTTTACATTTTTAGTAAACCACATACCTCAGAATAGACACCCAGATAGCAAATTAAATGGAATGTATGAATGTTACCTTACGTGGACTTAATGTCTACGGCTTCTGTAATATGCGTAACGACAGAATGTAAAAGTTCCATTCAAGTATTGTAACCGTTATATATTTCCATGCTATTATCTTAGTTATTACTATGTTTATTCCAAATTAGATTATACTTGTACATGAAATGTATAATATATTTGAGTCGAAATTTAATGATTACCAATGAAGCTTTGAACAACTTCAAATCCCATGTTGCTGTTTGGGTAAACACAAGTGAAAACCATAATATTTTATTTATTGTAATTTCATCTATCTTCGAAACTTCTTGTAGAACGTGTCGGTCTGATAATTTTGGAACAACTTACGAAAATCGCAAACATAATTATCTCGAAAAAGAAAAAAACACGAAAATTGTCTCTTCTAAATATATCCCTAAATCAATGATCTTTGTATGTGTCCATCCTATTTAATCGTCCGCTCGATTCTGTTACAACGTGTTTATTGATAATTGTAACTAGGAAGTACGATAATACTGGTGTAATAAGCATTGTGTTAAATATGTACAGTTACCAATTATAATTGGCAAAGTAATCTAATTTAATATCGATGTGATTTTTTGCTCCAATAAATAATTGGAATTAACATTTAAAGAAGAACTATTATGCGTTGTTAACACTGCCATTAGGAGTTGGCAATTGTAAATTATGTAGAAAAAAAGTAATTGATTGTAAATATATCTTTATTATTAACTAATAACTGTTCCTTTTTAGGATCAACAGTGCTATTTTTTATATATTATACTGATTGAACTCCTTTTAAACAATGATATTCCCCTTATTGCACTCCTTGTCTTTGGTATTATTGTAAAATATGTACAATATCCATGAGACGTACGATAGATTTCGAAAGGAGGGTAAAGGATGGTACTATGGAAATTATTAAGCAGACAATTTTCAGAAATTTACAAATAGTATTTGAAAACATTCAATCGTTTCTTTATATACACATGTTATTATAATTTAAATGCGTTTATGTACAACACAAAGTTTACTATAATTTGTAACGACAATGGTGTCATTCGTATATCGAATAACATGTATATTAAAACATTTGTTTGCTTTGTACAAATATGATAACAAGATAAGAAAATGCACAGTGGTTAATAAAGACATCAACTAACTACTGCACTCAGCTTCATATTCTTGATTCACAATGTTCATATATTACACCTCATGTATCGCAGTAAGCACATCACCTAATCTTACATAGAAAATTGTGCCTTTGCATGGCTCACAAACATAATATGTTTTGTACTAAAGGAAATGATACATTTATTTTATAAATACTTCCATTATCT